TCTACAAAAAAGATACCTGCACACGTATGTTTGTTGCAGCTCTATTCACAATAGCAAAAACATGGAACCAACCATGTTGCCCATCGAAGCTGGACTGGATAAAAAAATGTGGTACACATACACAATGGAATATTGTGCAACCATAAAGAAGGACAAACGTGAACTTTGCAGCAACTTGCATGGATTTAGAGTCAATCATACTCAGTGATCTTATCACAGAAACAAAGAACAGAGTACCATATGTTCTCACTCATAAGCGGACCTTGAACAATTACAATACTATAAGGAAGGGATTGGCAGCTGAGGGAAACTGCTAGCAGAGCGACAGGCATACCTCATTAACAAGGGTACCTGTATAATAAACGTTTGTATACCTAACCCTGAATTGTACCCCACATCTTTATAATTAAAGAAAAAATGTATTATGCAATTTATCATTTGGGAAAATGTTTTCTGTGAATCATATTGACTAATGAGTGAGATACTGTTATAGTTCGAGATATCAGGAAGATCCAAACAAACAAAAAACTAACCTCAACAACAGGTTCAGGGTCCAGGCAACTCTTCTCTTCTTCATTTTGTCATGATTATGTGGGTACAAACAGCAACCTTTCCCCAATGTTCTATAAACTGTGGCAGAGTAAAAATAAGGAGAAATGCCCAAAATATGAGGTGGAATATTTTATCATTCCAAGACACTCTGGATGGAAATTTCCAAAAGGAAATCTTCCTGCTGAGAGGTTCAATTGCAGACTGAGAAAGTTCCTAATTCATTCTTCAGTCTCTTTTACTTCTGCAAGCAACACTCTCTAAAGAACATTTTTAGTGGGAAGGGGGAAAAAAACTTGATTATATTGCTCTTTATTTTACCTCTAATATACTACTTAAGTTTCCCCCACCCATTAATGAACTGAGAGTCTCAAATGTTCTCTGTAATCAATTCTTTCATTCAATACTCAAACTTCATTTTAATTATTGCCATCTTGTTGGGAGCAGCATAAACATTCCCAGATTTGTCTTGCAGTTGAGAATTAGGCCTTGAAGAATATCCTCTAAATAGGCCCATTATGTGCACTGACCATACCAACAAAGATAAAAATAAATTTATTTAACTTTTTAGTCATATAATTTTTGTCATGATATTATTTTCTTCATTGAAAAAGTAATAATATAGGACCTTCTGCTACCTGAAATCGAGTAGAAGCATCACGGGCCAAGTCAACTTTTCAGCCCATGTCTAGGGCAGATCACTACATTGAGTTTATTTTAAAGCACTAGTGAGGGTAGGTGCAGTGACTCATACCCATAATCCCAGCACTTTGGGAGCTGAGATAAGAAGATTGCTTGAGGTCAAGAGTTCAAGACCATCCTGAGCAACATAGAAAGACCTTCATCTCTTTAAAAAATAATGTTTTTTAAAAAAATTAGCCAGTGTGATGGCTCACATAGTTCCAGCTACTTGGGAGGCTGAGGCAGAAGGATGGCTTGAGCCCAGGAATTAAAGGTTGCATTCCAGTATGAGTGACAGAATGAGACCCTGTCTCTAAAAAAGAAAAGAATCAATAACGAGAGACTAAAATTAAGTTGTCCTTTGATTACATTATGAACAGTATTTGTTCAATATGTTGGCCCATCGGCATAAGCTTTTGCTGTTATCATACAGTTGGCTCACACCGAGGTGACGAGAGTTTTTATCTCTTTAACTGGCTAGTAAACGTTCTAATCACTCACAACACATATACTTTTCTAATTTTAGACTTTTGGGAAGAAAAACACCCAATCATTGTGAACAAGGAAAAGTGGGATTCTGCTGGTTTCCCTTGCTCAGAAGAGAAATCCTGTTTCCCCAATTTTGCACATCAAAGTGATATTCTAACAACAGTAGGCCTTCACTTAGCATAGTTAATAGGATCTTGGAAACTGTGACTTTAAGCAAAACAATGTATAAGGAAACCAGTTTTACCATAGGCTACCTGATATAGGCAAGAGTTAAATTTCTATGACCTATTTCTGGTCACAACAATATCACCAAACATTTAAATAAAGACTAAAGCACTTCTAACATTAAACATTTAAATAAACGTGAACTATGCACACATTTAAGAAAGAATAATAAAAACAAGTAAGATAATTATTTATCCACAGTTTGATAAGTGAATGAGGGCAGTCAAAGGAATAAATGTTTTTGAAGTGAAAATTAGAACAAGCTCCTCTTACCACCATGCAATTTAAAAATCATCACACGCAGCACAAGCTCCCAGAGTGCTTTCGTACCATACCATTTATTGTTGTGTATCTATCTGTATGTTTAGCACAGATTTTACAAAATTTTATTTTACAATCATTTGTATGCATTCATTTATTAATTTTATGACATGCCTGTTCCAGTTCAGGGCTGTGGTGGCCAGAGTCCATTCAGGCAGCTCAGGGCCATCCCATCACAGGGTGTGCTCCACACTCACTCAGACCGGGACAGTTCAGACTTGCCAATTCATTTAACAGGCACATCTTTAGAATGTGGGCGGAAACAAAAGCACCTGGAGAAAGCCCACACAGGCTTGGGAGAACATGCAAACTCCACAAACAGTAGCTGTAGCCAGGAATCAATTTTTTTTCTCATCAGTATTAATGAAATAAGATAAGGTGCAGTGTCTCACACCTGTAATCCCAGTACTCTGGGAGACCAAGACAGGAGAATTGCTTGAGCCCAGGAGTTCGAGACCAACCTGGGCAACATACTGAGACCTCATCTCTACAAAAATAAAAAAAATTAGCTGTGTGTGATAGCACCATCTGTAGTCCCAGCTATATATAAAAATGACATAATGTTGACTGAAACAACATTATTTGAAGACTTACTGTACAATTTATTCTTGTCTCTGAATATACTTTGACACAAGCCCATGAATATCCAGAATATATGTATTTCAGGTTGGGTCTTCAGAACTTTAAATATCTCCCTATAATTTGCTTATTCTATCAGTCATAAGCCTAACTCATCCAACTTCTGTTTCCTTGCATCTAATCAATCTCCAAGACGTATTCTGCCTGTCTGTACATGTTTTCTCAAAGCTATCATTTGCTCCCCAGTTGTCCGACCCAAGACACCAGTATCAAAAAAGTGCATAAATACTGAGGGATAAACTTCGTTATCAGATGAGCTTGAGTTCAAATCCTAGCTTCCTCACAATTGATCAGTGTGCCATCTGGAACAAGTTTCTTAATTTCTCTGAGAATTAGTTTTCTCATCTTTAAAAAACAATGGTAATATTATTTACCACCCAGTATTGTCCTGAGGGTAGATTCATTTATTTAGTCAACCAACATTTATTAAGCTGCTACTTTATGCAAAAATCTAGGCCCTGGAACCACAATGGGGAGAGCAAAGTCCCTGATGTTTATGAAGTTGATAGTCAAGTAGTATTACATGAGACAATGCGTGCTGCCTGGCATAATACAGGGATACAATGAGATGATGGTTCTTGTTTGTTCTGTTGCTGCAGCTATGAATTTTAAACTGGTCTCCCTACCTCATCTCTCATGTTGTCAATCATTCACTTGCCAGGAGTGTTATCTTCCTAAAATATAGGCTAGCTCTTGTTTACACTTTCAAAATCTTCTTGTTGCTGAGTATAGATAAAGCCCAGATTTTTTAAAGAAATAATTCATAAGATTTAGTGGTCACTTGAGTTTGCAAGTGAAGAAAGCAGGGTCTACTCTAAAAGTCTTATTCTAAAGCCTGTAGTCCAGGGATATGGAGAGATGATATTATCACTAACTGGAAGAGGAAACCAAAGGGAAAAAGAGCAGGTTTGGGAGTAGAAAATACAGCTAGTTCTGTTTTGCACCTGTTGAGATCTAGGTCTCTGTGGAATATCTAATAGAAATAGACTGTTGAAAAAAAGACAAATCTGGGATACAGGACAGATATAAAACCAGAGATAAGAATATAGGAACCACTGATAGAATCATAGTAGTTTAAGCTTTTAGAATACATTTAACAGTTTAGCTCTGATGCTCTAAATTTATAATAAAAAGTCTCAGTCTGGGTTGCCAGCTTTAGCACAATCTAGCACCTTTCCAGAGGAAAAAAATTGATCAATCCTTCTGAAGAAGATCAGTATCTCATTGAGAGACTTCTTTTTCATCGATCCTACACAAAATCCTGACCATTTTTGGTTTGTACTAGCCCCTCCACACTTTAAATATTGAGCCTACATCTACAAAAACAAAGCCATGTTTATTTTTTAGACCTCATCTCTCTTAGATCATTGAGCTCTATGCTGTTTTCTCAGTAATGTATGTAGATTCCATTGTTTCTAGAGTAAAGACAGACTTATTTAAGTACTACAAAGGTAAGTAACTAAACCTGTAAGTGCTATAAACTCTCAGATTAGGGAGAAAATGTAATAGGAAGCTCCATTTTATTCTTCATTCAAAGCTCATATTCTCTCCCTGAAAAAGTATTCATATTGTTCAAGATCAAACAAAACCTAGCAGGCATTTAATTACAAGAATAGATTGTGAAGAGAAGTTAAAATGACAAGACCTCCTCTCTTTAGGAAGCAATGGTGAAAAATGACAATATAGGAACCCAAATTCCATAAGTATTTAGGTCCATAAGTCTCACTGACAGTGAACTGTCCTGACTCAATAATTAATGCACTGGGAATTATCTAGGTAGACCATGATTTGTATATTTTATGGGCTATTATGTCAAGGATCCATGTCAGACAAGATGCATACACAATGCTCTACAGAAAAATTATTGTCACAGGCAAAATTGGTGTTTTTTTAATGAACTTTAAGAGCAAGTAAGCCCAGGAAAAATATATAGTACCATTTCTAATTCCTTTATATTTTTTAAGTTAAAGGTACCTTTATTTTTATTTTCCAATGAATATATCTTTGATTAGAACTACTTTCAATTACAAAAATGTTTAATACTCATTGTTCTTAAAGGATAACCTTCTGTATAACCATTCTCTCTCTCTTTAAAGGGATCCTCATCCCCGAAATTCCTGTGGAGTACAATATCTTACTCAATGATGGAAGTGCAACACCTCTGACCTTATCTGTTGGTCATCATCAGTCCATCCTTCTGGAAAATTTGGCTCCATTCACACAGTATGAGATAAGGATACAAGCGTGTCAAAATGGTGAAAGTCTTTAAGACACTTGGTCTGAGATTTTATAAAAAAGTATTTCATAAAAAAAAAAGATTCATTTAAAAGGAATAGATTCGCAGTCCAAATACAAAGACTAACATTTCATTTCTTATTTGTAGTGGACTGTTTACCCAGAAAAATCAGAGCCTGCCATCGAGTGAAGCATTATGCATTTCTGCACATTAAATCATGAATATTTAAATATATCAAAATGGTGGTTTGCAAAGTCTTGTTTTATAAGGCCCTTTAAAAGACAAACACCTAGCTCACACAAAGGAGTCATTGGTAATATAAAACAAAATGAGTATTACAAAAATTTCACAAAAAATGTATTTCCCTTGGTTTTACTTAAATTATATTCAGGAGGGGGAAATCAGAAGTTATTTAAAAGTTGAATTACACCCAAATGAATCTTACATACTTTACAGTGTTCCTTTGAATCCTATTTCATGTAAACGAACCATCACCTTGTGCTTCATGGCTTAGGCTGGGGTTGGTGAAATTATCATCTATCTGTGTTGTCTTAAGGAAGAGACTCCCCCATTCCCTTCATCCCTCCAAATGAATAATTGGTTACATGTACACTGAGATTTGAGAGGGGAGAACAGGGAATCAAGAGTGTTGCATATGATTTTATTTTACATTAAATGTAGAAATGGATGGATATGGCTATATTAATATATCATATATATGGTATCATGATATATATTATATAATATAAAACACCTCATTGCTAAGTAAAGATGTAACTCATATTGGTGAACAAAACATTTTTTTTCACTTGATGTTAAGGAAACTTACCAACCATATACTCAGTGTGTAGTTGGAACTCCTGTTTTACACATCATTAGGAACTTCTGTTTCCAAATGAATCCTGCTTCCCAGAGTTAGTTAGGATTAAGAGTCTGCAGTTTTGCTATACTGAATTCATATCAGAAATTGCAAGTCAGTCTGTTCACTTGTCTCTACAAAACAGACCATGGCATTTTTGTTCAAAGGGTATTGCTTGCTCTGACCTGGTGTTCAGCTGATCAACATGAAAACAGCTTTAAATTAATGTTTTATTGATTTAAGTCAGCTTCTGCACCTCCATGTCCCTGAAAGTGTGGTATGGAAGTACAATATCCTTCAGATTAATTGACTCCTGTGTGTTTGAAGAATGGTCATTAATTTAAAATATTAGGAAAAATAAAACATTATTAAGAGCATTCAAGATGTATAGGTAACACATACATTTGTGAAATTCAAGTGCATTCTCACTTTCTGTTTAGAGTGATTGCAATAAACTAAAGAAACTTCAGACAAGCATATGTTTTGTTTATGCCTATATAAATATATGATTAATTAATGAGATTTCCAGAAATAATGTTTTATTTAAAAGCTCAAATCCTATATAAATTTATAGTACTGTCAAGAAAATATATATGTTTATGTATACAAGGATATATGTAAAAGTATACAAAGTTCAGATAAAATACTTTTCATGATTTCCCTATGCATATGCATATGATATCCTTTTTATGATATCCTTAAGTATATGCATATGTAACTCTTTCTCTGCCTGACAAATAACTGAAGACTTTGGTTTTTCTTTTTTCAGGAGGTTGTGGAGTTAGCAGTAGGGTGTTTGTCAAAACATCTGAAGCAGCCCCAATGGAGCTTAATGCTCCCATTCTTAAGGCACTGGGGCCAGCTTGCATAGAGATTAAGTGGATGCCACCTAAAAAACCAAATGGAGTTATCATCAACTACTTTATTCACAGGTAAGAGTAAATGGTACTATTATTTTTAGTTATTAAAGAATGTGTACTATTCCAGGACTACAAAATCCAATACACTTTCTACTTTCATAAGTAAGGAAAAGGATGGGAGTTCATGTTTTTTGGAGCACCCACTGGTGGGGACTAAGACTGGCGTTCAAACTTTTATACATTATCTAAGGAAAAAAGCCAGAATTACTATACAATATTTCTGATTGAGCTCTGTTTGCTAGCTGAGATCTTATAGCCAACATAGCTTTATGTTTGGTGAAGTAGTAGAAAAATCTGCGAGAAGCTCACTGACCAAGAGAACATAGTCTTTCCAGAAGAGGAACCAGATCCGAGACAAAAATTCTAATATTTCTCATCACTTACATAAAGATTGAAAATGTCTCTTTCATCCTACAAAGATGGCATTTTTTAGATGCAGAAAGAGTGGCTCCACTCTCCAGCTCTTTTTTATTGAGTCTCCACTCCATTGGTTAGATGGTGTTACTGCAGCTTGTTTTCACCATCATGTGAAGAATGTATTAAGTGCATCTACCTAAAAGAAAGAAAAGAAAGAAAAAGAGAAGGGATGAGAAAAGAGGAAGAGACAGACTGAAAGAAGACAGAGATGAGAGGAAGAGAGATAAGACTGTGGACATTTTGGTTTGAAGAGACTTAGTCTTCACCTGATCAACATGAACATTGCTTTAAATTAATGTTTTCTTTAAATAAATAATGAGTGAGGGTTGGGAGAAGAGGGAAGGGAGGCATGAAATGGGAGAGATGAGAAGGAGTGAAGGATAGAATAGAGAGAATGAGAAAGGGAGGGGGAAGAGGGAGAAGGCAGTGGGAAAGAGAGGAGGAGAGAAGGAGAAAGTGAAATACAAGTAGGATCACAGGGGCAAAGAGCTGTTAACTGAAAGCTTGCTATCTAAGACCGAAAACATAGATACTGGCAGACACAGAAGTTGCAGATTGAAACCCCCATTTCAACAGCAATGTATTTACATTAGGCCTGCAAAGCACAACACGTTTCTTCTCAGATCCTCATCCCCCACCTCAGCATCCTTTTTCAGTCTCTCTGGCAGTCTCAGGTCTTCCCTTGTTCAGTCCTATGCCCTGAAACTTCATTCAGGCTCCTCTTATAACTTCAGATATTGAAACCCTTTGATTCAGATCAGTCTTCAGTGTTGAACTAAGGGTTCGTAGAATAATTATAAAAGGAGAAAGTATTGTTGTATTTCTGGTTATGTAAATGACATCTCCATAAAGGAACAAGCCAAATTTCTCCTTAGCAAACATTAATTTGAGGAATAATATTTCTGATTCAAATACACATGAACATGTAAAAATGGCTTATGTGAATTTATATTTTATGCTAAGCACATTAGTGCAGGCTCTAAAATGCCCATCCTCTTGAAATAGTTTTCTTTCATCTACTTAATGCTAATTGTATGAGAAAAGCACATCAAATTCCTATTCTGAATAAAGGGAAATAAAGTATCTGTTATAGAGCAGGACGTGGCTTCACACTGTTGGTTTTGTAAATAAAGCTCGTGATTACAGTGACTATTCCATGGCAGCTATAGAAAGGGAAAACAGGAAATATAATGCAGAAAGCCCGCTTCAATGAAAAATACTGTAAATTGAATTTGACAGCATTTGATGGCATTTGATTATTCTAGTCACAGCCAAACAATGATATAAAGAGTAATATGAAACAGAATGTGTTACTGCCTAGCAGACTCAAAAGCAATAAACCTTCCTCCAATGTGACACAATCACTTCACAATCATAATTGTAGCCTGTTTGATACCTCTGAGTACAGCAGAAGGGCACTGACTGACATAGATACATTTTGTTTTTTATTTAAAGTGAAATGAAAATGGCGCACTGGGGCTCCAGATACAATCGTTATATTCACCTACATAGGCATGAATCACTTGGCAGTTATTTCGGCTGAAGTTTAAATGTGCTTAGACAACAACAATATCAAATTTTTCTTAGATAGCTGCAAAAAAAAATCAGAAATTTGTAAGGACAGAAATAGAATGTAGACACATAGTTCTTTTTCATTCTGAGACTACATAGAGCCCCTTATACAGTTATAGCCACAAGCCTGCAGTATTTCTGAGGAGGTTATGGCATGTAATTTCTGCTTCATCATTTGCCTCCTCTTTCTTCTAGTGCCTCCAAAGGAAATACATTTAGCTCAAACCAAAGATAGGGGTTGGCCTATGCAGATATTTTCATTAAATTGTAGGAGGTCAACTTACCAATTTCATTTAAAAATGCTTGTCACTCTTCTCACCAACTCCCCAAATCATTATCTCTTCTGTAATTTTCTTCTATTGTTTAAATGTCACCTCTAGATATTATCGTATTTAAGAGTGCCTGCCCTATGAAAGAGAGAAAATGTTTAGAACTTCAAAAAACGAAGCAAAATCACCTAGTAAGAACAAACTATTCACATGATTGATTCTACTTAATGTACCTGTTAACTTAGGCTACTTTGTTGAGTACGTGTAAGTCACACACACACACACACACAGAAATTTGCCACAAAGTTTTTTTTTTTAATAAAAAATAGAGACAACATTTAAGTTAGTGTTTTGCAGCCTGTTCATTGATAGGATATAGACAAGGCCATGTTGGGTATTTGCTTCCTTCTCACAGGGAGTTTGGCTTGTATAATGAAATTTCCTTAATATTCCTTCTTTATCTTATGTCTGTAACCTTGTTAATGGCAAAATTCTCATCACTTTCATCTGTAAAATCCAACAAACACGTTACCTTAGGACTTTGCAAAACACAGAATAAAATAATCTCTTCCCACTAAGAGCTTCCATTTTAATGGAGACAAAAAATGTGTGGGGTTTATTAATCTCATGAGCTTTCTCTTTAAATAAATAAAAGTATTTGATCAATATACATTGAAAGACAAAAATACACACAAGCACCCCTGTGTACAATATAAAAATAAGAACAAATGATGAAGTTTTCTTCTGAGTATTTAGTAAGGTTTTAAAGAATAAATTCTGTAATAGTCTAGAAGGATGTACAATATAGAAGGCTATTCCTAGCAAGGAAATGAAAACAATTTTATAGAATGGATGATTAAGTTGATTGAGTTAATTAAGAAAAGGTGAGTTTTGAATCAAAAGCAAAGGAATTTTGATATAATTCAAATTCTGTTGTGTGGAAAGATAGAAATTGCTGTTGATATTAAGAGACAGAGACAGAGAAAGAGAGGGAGAGTGACATATCTACTGAGGGAGATATAAAGATCTATCTATGAGACTTGAACCCTATTACCAATTAACCTCACGACAGTGAGAGATATAAGACAAACTAAATAAATAAAAGAGTGCAATATAATTGAAAAATAGAAATATTTACCAGAAAACTTAGAGGAGAGAGGAATTCACTCTGTCTAGAATATTCATGGAAGACTTCATGAAGTTCATGTCATGGAGACTAAGCCTTACAAAACAAAAATTTAATAACTATTTAAATTGTAAAATAAATACATTTGTTGGGAAAAGGTTTTATTAGTACAGAAGATTACTAAGGTAAGAAGATTCCTTCTTATGACATCCCATGACATATATAATTTCCATCAAGGAAGTGACACTATTAATTTTAATATATTAACATTGATATTCTAGCTTTGTATTTTCTTTTACATAAAAAGAATCAAATTTTCCATGATGTTCTGCAATTTGGGGGTGGGGGAAGTTGATAAGAGATATATGAGTGGAGACCCAAAAAAGCTGGAATTCATTTCTAAAAAATTGTGTGTTTATTCTTTTTAAAAATTTTTTTAAAGATATAGAGTACAATTCAGGATAGGTATACAAGTGGTCATTGTACAGGGTAAAGTTTGAGCCTCCCTTTGGTCCCTCTTTGCCTGGTTTGAGATCAGGTACCCTTATTGATGTTGTGTCCCCCTTCCCACCCCTGCAGTATCTCGCTGCTGCCAATCCCTTTCTTATAGTGTTATGGTAAATGTTCAGAGTCCGCTTATGAGTGAGAACATGTGGTACTCTGTTCTTTGTGTCTGTGATAGATCTGTTTGATAAACTCTAAATCCATCCAAGTTGCTGTTAAGTTCATATGTTCGCCCTTCTTTATGGCTGCATAATATTCCATTGTGTATATGTAGCACATTTTTAAAAATCCAGTCCTGTTTTGATGGGCAGCACAGTTGGTTCCATATTCATTCTTACGTGTTTAAACTTCAATCACTTTCAAAGTACTCTCTGTTTGATGTAGTACTACTGAGATGTTTTTTCCATTTCTGAAAACAGTTTTAGAACGCGTCAATTTTGATGCCTTTTAGTGCTTCTGCTGTTTTTTATTTCACCTCTTCCACATCACCAAAATGTTTCCCTTTGTGGACCTTTTTCATCCAAGGAAACAACAAAAAAACGTTGTTCAGGGCAAGATTGGGTGAATGGGGGGGTGGGGCACAAGGGTCATGTAAAAAATAACCGCAGCTGCTCAGGATGCTGAGGCAGGAGGATCACCGGAGCCCAGGAGCTAGAGAGGAGCCTGAGAAACATAGAGAGACCTCGTCTCTACACAAAATAAAAATAAATAAACAAATTAGCAGGGAATGGTGGCACACACTGCTAGTCCCACCCACTTGGCAGGCTGAGGTGGGAGAATCGTGTGAGCCCAGGAGTTGAGGTTGAGCTATGATCATGCCACTGCACTCCAGTCTGGGTGACAAAGGAGATCCCCATCTCTAATAATGATAACCATAATAATAATAATAATTTAAGATAATTTTAAAACAAATTTCAGAAAGTGAATCCTTTGGATAATTAGCAGGTGAGTGGTAAGTATGGTAAGTCACTAAGAGTTTTAAAAAGATTGTCAACTGGGCTCGGTGGCTCAGCCTGTAATCCCTCGCCTTTGGGAGGCTGAGGTGAGTGGATTGCCTGACTCCATGGGTTCGAGACCCGCCTGGGCAGCGAGACCTCATCTCTACAATAAATCAAAAAATCAGCCGGGTGTGGTAGCATATGCCTGTAATTCCGGCTACTCGGAAGGCTGAGGAGGAAGGATCGCCGGAGCCCAGCAGGTCGAGGCTGCGGTGGCCGGAAGCAGCCACTACACTCCAGTCTGGGCGACAGAGTGAGATTCCAACTCAAAAAACAAAAAAAGATTGTCTTAAAATTTTGTAATATCTTTGACATCATTTCCTTCAACACCAGAGCATTCACCCATGCCACAAAGTTTGATGGTTCAACCTTCATAACACATTTTGTAAATCACCTGTGTTTCCGTTTCCTCTACCAGCAACATAGTTCAGCATCTATGTATATTTATTCTCCTGTGAACAGTTGGGATGACCTCCCTGTTCAATGCAGCCTCTACACAACTGCCAACTGTATTCTGAAAAACAGCTTTGGCCATCATCTCTCTGTGATAACTTCATTTGCATAGTGTATTACATTTTACCTAGCAATTTTTATATGCTTTAATTATTACAAGAATTCTGGTTGTTAAGGTAACTGGTATGGTTATTAACTCCAGTTTCAAAATGAAATGGAAACTAGAGAACATAGGCAACTTTGCCCAAAGTCATTGAACTAAGTGGCAGAGCCAGGACCTGCAACCTATGTCCTCACTACAGGTGTTTCTGGTTATTTATTTAAATTCAGAGTATTTTTAATATTCTTCATAGGGTGGAGCTGGCAGTTTTGTAATCTTAAAACTGTCATGGGAAATGCATTGAGTTCCAGTATTTTGTTCCAAATGCTTTTGAAGATAAGTAGTGACAATTGCTGGAGGGGAGAGAAGGAGTAGGGAGCTCTTAAGATTATTCAACATTGAGACAGCAGAAGTTTGAATGCCTTTTAAAACATATAGTTTATAGTTTTCATACTTATTTTTGTGTTTCCTTAGTGTTAGGCAAACTTATATGAACTCTAGTTGGAAAAAATGCATTACTAAAATATTTCCCAAATGAGCTTAAGCAAAGAATAACCATTTGGCTATTCAGAGAGAACTGAAAATATGATTTCTCTGAATATAGACTATTCAAGAGAGAACACATCCAGTTAAATAAACATGTGAAGCCTAAATCTTAAATAGATGAGGAATAATTGTGGTCTACTCAACCACTTCTGTTCAAAATGTATTTGGACATAAAGAGATACTGTCTTTTAGCCCTACAGATAGAACATTTACCTATCGGTGATATTAATTTATCAAGTACTAAATATTGATAGGAAATACTTAACCAGGTTGCATCTTCTAATTGTTCTGGTGGATAAACATGAGGCTAACATACTACTTAATCTCGTAACCAGTGTATATTTTTAAAATATACACTTTGAGGCAAATTTTTAAGAATGTCTGCTTTATAAAATCCATGAGCTGGGCTCGGTGGCTCAGCCTGTAATCTCGCGTCTTTGGGAGGCTGAGGTGAGTGGATTGCCTGAGCCCACAGGTTTGAGACCCGCCTGGGCAGCAAGACCTCATCTCTACAATAAATCAAAAAATCAGCCAGGCATGGTAGCGCATGCCTGTAATTCCAGCTACTTGGAAGGTTGAGGCGAAAGGATCACCGGAGCCCAGCAGGTCGAGGCTGCGGTGGCCGGGAGCGGCCACTGCACTCCAGTCTGGGTGACAGAGTGAGACTCCAAATCAAAAAAATAAAATAAAAAATAATAAAATCCATGACTACCTCTCAATTTGGGAATTCATGAGAATTTAATAAAAATTAATTGAATTGTCATAGAAAGATTGCAGTCAGACAAAATAGAAACTGTTACTTTCCCATAGACCATCATAGGCTTGTTTGCTGTATTGTGTTTCTAGCAAACATCTTTTTAAAAATCACAGAGAGGAGTCCTTGGCTATGAGCCCTGTGGTTCTCATTAGAATGGATTCCTCCCAATGGCACACCTGGTACCTGTTATCTGCTGCAAGCACAAAGGCCAAACCCTGCAAACCTACACTGAGTGCAGAATCTGGTCTATGCATGGTAGCGGGTAATAATGAGGTGGGCTGCCGACCTGTAATTGCAGGTCACTGAGTGGTATCCATGAAGCCTCGATAGCCTCCAGCAGGAAGCTTGTCATTGCTCATACTTAGGTCATAATGATTTATCAACTTGAGGATCATCAAATTCCCAAAGCCAGATATTTTACATACTCTGCCTTCTTGTGAAAGGTACTGTCATTTACTTTGCCTTAATAACCCCTTACATTGATGGAGTTGGTTAATCTGATATGGCAGCATGTGAATTTTCCAGCATCTGAGGAGCGTGTTAATTAAATACCCCTAACAGCCTGGAAAATATTGATGTATTCATCACTCTCTTCTCAACTAGAGAGGGAGCTGAAGGAGGAGGGTTCATAACTTGGTTACAATCTTCCCCAACTTAGAATACCTTCTAATAGAAAATAAGAGCTGATGGCAAAGAGGCAAAGATGCAGAAAAACCATAGAATTATATGCCTTGTAGTCATTCACTTGAAAAAAAATTATTGAACACTTACTGGGCTCAGATGCTGGGAATATAGAGATATGCCAACCACAATTTCTCAGGAACTTCCCTTTTTATCAGATCTGCATCATGAGTTTACATCTGGATGAGCACAGAACTGTTCCAAATGAAATATAAAATATTCAGGGCCATCCCAACAACTGACAATTCCATTTCTTTTACTTAGATGTGTAAGACTGTATATATTTAGTACCGAGAGAGTATGCATGGCCCTAGTTTTAATATCAACAAAATCTAAAGATGGGATTAAACAATCCCATTCTCAAGTAGTGGAAAGAATTTTTTAGTGTACTATGTTTTGGAAGAAACATCTAAAAGTAATTTGACTTTTGCCACTTAAAGATCTCCAAAGCAGATTCCTATTCTATTACTTATCAAGCTATTTTCATTAATTCGCACATATTATCTCTTCTACTTAACTATGAGCTCCTTTAAGTGAGGAGTGTGTCAAAAAATATATAAGAAAGAATGGTCTTGATATAGAAGAAAGAATAGTCCTTGCTTTGAGAGGTTATGGTTTAATTAGAGAAGAAAAAATTGAAATGAAGAGAAAGTAACATGTGGAAAGTGAATTTAAAACGCTTTTTAAACATCCTGAAAACAAATGCAAAATAGCATTGTGCTGTGTAAAAGAGGATACAAACTATGGGTTTCTCTTCATCGTTCCTTGTCTTCCAGTATGCTAGCCTAGGCTTTTTCACACAGTGATCCAAGAGCAGCAAGAGGGTCAGCCTCAACGTGCAAACACTTTTTAAGTCTCTGTAGTCATCGTATTTGTTACTGTCCCCTTGGCTAAAGAAAGCCATATGGCCAAGCTCAGAGTGAATGTGAAAGCATACTAATAAAAGGTGTGGATACAGGGGGACAAACAGCGTGGGGCCCTTACTACAGTCCATCTACCATAGAAAAGTAAGGATTCCCAATAATATCAGCCTCTAATAATTGAATATGCTATGGTTCCAGTTGTGTAAAAGATAAAACCCCAATATAACTGCATATGCATTGCAGGCACACACAAGCATAAAAAAATCTAGGAAATACATAAAAATGTGTTAATACTATTTAAAATATGCTTCTGTGTTTTTTTAATGTTTAAATAATATGTTGCTTTGTACTGTATATTTTGTTTTTAAGAAAAAATATCTGGAAGATAATACAATAAAATGTGATTATGTATTATGTTTAACTTTCTATATTTTTAATATTTTATTTGTATTTTCCTTGTTTTCTATCAAGTATATCCATTTCTCTATTATCAGTTGTGTGTGTGTGTGTGTGTGTGTGTGTGTGTGTGTGTGTGTGTGTGTGTGCGCGTGTGGGTGTGTATGAACTGCATTTTTAAAAATTGATATTGAGTCAGGCCTCTGGTGTACTCCTCCATCTGGTCTTTCCTGTATCATGACACCAGGAAAGAGCAGCTGAACAGTTGAGTTGATAACAAATTTTTATAAAAAGCAATGTCTTACTCCATCTACAAACCTTGTTTTGAAGTGTGCAGCTGTCACTGGTTGCCTGCTTGGTTTCTTTACAGACGTCCTGCTGGCTTTGAAGAGGAGTCTCTTTTGTTTGTCTGGTCAGAAGGATCCCTTGAATTTACTGATGCTGCAAACATTCTGAGGCCGTTTACAATCTATGAATATCGGGTCAGAGCCCATAACTCCAGGGGCTCAGTGGAGAGTCTGTGGTCATCAGTACGAACTCCGGAAGCCCCTCCTCAAGATCTTCCAGCTCCTTGGGCTCAAGCCACTGGTGCTCATTCAGTTCTGATGAATTGGACAAAGCCAGAATCGCCCAATGGCATTATCTCTCACTACCGTGTGGTCTACCAGAAGAGACCAGATGATCTGACATTGAACAGTTCTATTGTGCATGCTTTCACAATGACGGTAAGAACTTCTAAAAAAATAACAGATGCTCAGATGATCTGGTTAATTTGAAATTCATTTTCTTATCCACCTTGTCATTTTTCTTCACTTAGGGCTCAAATATATGAAAATCTTTGACATCTAAAAAGTAGCAATGTGATCATGGGGATAAAATACTGAACTGAGTATGAGGAGTACTAGGGACCAGGTTGCAGATCAAAACCAATTTATATTATCTCGAGCAAATGCATGAATCTTTTTGCCTGATTCTCATTTCTCATATTCACTAAATGGGAATAATTCAGTGCTTACCTCCATACCTCATAGGGTTCATAGATGAAATTAGGCAGAATATTTACTCTTCTACTTCCTCAATGAGCTAATGATATATATACATACATATATATGTAGTTATATATGCCAAGTTACGTGCACTATAGCTTAGTAGTGATTTTTTCTGAACTGGTTCCCTCTAGCTCATAAAACAACTTCATTCGGCCCATGTGGCCACCCAGTATTTCCTGAGTCTTTCTTTATGCTCAGCATAACATTATGTTCTACGGGAGATACAGAAAAAGATGATCCCTGTCTCAGGAAGCATTCTGTTTTGTAATATTGCAAAGACGAGAATTTTACATAAGAAAAAAATGGGAAGTGGTCGAGTTAAGTCTATAATGTCTACTACACTGGGACTTAGACTTCAAACTCCATCACCCATTAGAAATAAACCATAATACAAGAGAGAATGATGCCATATACCAAAAGTGTTAAGCCAGAAATGCTCTCGCGTGTCAGCAGGAAGCCCTCACACTGAAGAGGCTTCATGGAGAAGATGAAATGCTGTGGTCTTAGAACTTAAATACATATGGTTTTCAAAATGTGCCAAGACCTTATTAAATATGAAAAACCCTCATTAAGAAGAAATGAACGGACAACAGAAAGCATTATTTTCAAAAAGCAAACTATGTTTCTATGCTTCAAATCTAGACAACCCAGTTTACATGAAAGTTATCTTATAGAGTATAGCATTTATCAAAATATCCAAGTAATAGCAAATATATTTTCATAAAACTCCAGAAGAATATTTTTAAATGAATAGTTTTGAATGTAATGTGTTTCCATTGTCCCCATATTTAATTTCCTCATATGACAAAAAATAAGCAACATATGAAGTGCTAATATTTGTAAAACCATTCACTTTTAATAATTTCAAATTGGTACTTTTTTATTTCATACTAAGATATCCTTATGTACTAGGGTCTTTCATATTACACCTTTTAGATCCTTTATTATATGCAATGGAGACAGTTTTCTTAAGTGTAGATCTTTTTTAGTAGATATGTGATCCAGGGGAAATTAGTTACTTCTCATTATATCCTCCAAACTCATATTCTAAACTTACACCCTTAAAGTAAAATTTTTCATGAAAATACTGAAACACTCTTGATAATAGCTTTCTAAATGAGACACCTTTACTTAAATATACTTTTATTGGATGCACAAGTATTGCAATGATTAAACCTTTGATCTTTTAAAATGTGGCTTTCAGGGGTATGAGCCTAATCATTTACTCTCTCAAAACAGTTCTATTGGAATTCCACTGTGAAATATCCTATAAGTCATACCTTCATATCTGGTTTCATTCTAAAACACAAGATTTAAATTATCCGATGAATCCATGAACTCTGTACTTTATTTCATCTTCTAGGCTCTATTTTTATCACATTAAAAAGCTCCTAAAGAAAGGCAAACCTATGGCCCCAAACTTTAAACTGCACAGGGACCTTTGCACATAGGCCGTCCCTGACATAGCTTTCATTTTGATGCCCCAGTATTGCTGCATACTTCTTCTTCTCCAAAAATTATTCCTTATAATGCTAAAGAGAACAGCCAGAATAATTGAGAAACATTCTATTTTTTGAATGTGTGTATATGCATGTGTGTTCAAAGTGGCACCCCTGAAATCTGGATGTTTGGTCTTATTCTCAAAAGAAGACTTCATTCAGTTTATTAAGAAAGGTCCTGGCCAGGTGCAGTAGCTCACATCTGTAATCCCAGCAATCTGAGAGGCCAAGGCGAGAGGACCACTTGAAGCCATGAGTTCAAGACCAGGCTGGGAAACATAACAAGCCATTGCCTCTAAAAAAATGTAAAAAAAATTAGTTGAGTGTGGCGGCATGCACCAGCAGTCCTAGTGACTTGGAAGGCTGAGACAGGAAGTTCACTTGAGCCCAGGAGTTTGAGACAGCAGTGAGCTATAATCACATCACTGCACTCCAGCCTAGGTGACAGAGTGAGACCATCTGATCTTTTTAAGCAATCTAGGACATCTTTCACAAAGCAGTCAGGGCCACTTAGTGACACTCTGGTCACAAAGCCAAATTTTCAGGGCATCAGGCCAGTATGACATTTTATGAACTGACACCTTTGAAAAAGGTCATCAGAAAAATAAACTACTGTCTTTGAGTTTCATGTATTCCTACATTCCCTGTGTAGGAGATTGTGTTCAATGGTTTGTTAGGAAAAAATATATTTAAAAAATATAAAGATGGTGGTTCTACCACTCATCCAGTGTTCTATATTCCTCACCATCAAAGAAGAATTTTCTTTTATCCTAGCCAAATCCCCTTCTGTAATTTAAGTCTGTCTCTTTCTATTCAGAAGAGCATGATTTCTCTATGCTAGTGCAATGGTGCTTCAGGGTTGAACAAATTATTGACAATTCAATCCAATTTGGCAAATAGTCATTGAGTACTATATTCAATGTGTCAATACTCAATACTATACTCAACTGTATTGTTGCAGTTCACTATGAGACTGGGCGCTTGGGCAGAGCAGAGACCTTGAGAAGATAAGAATTCAGTACTGAGGCACAGCCTATTAATATTGGGCAGTTGGGGTTTCTAAGCTTCTGGCTGCTGAGTTTCTGCAGCTCATGTTTAGAAGACCCCATTTTATTTTAATTTTTTTGTATAAATGTAAGGAGTACAAGTGCAGTTTTGTTACATGCATATATTGTGTAGTGCTAAAGTCTTAGATTCTAGTGTAACCATTGCCCAGAAAATGTACAGTATACCCATTAAGTTATTTCTTATCCCTCACCCTCCTACCACTCTTCCACTCTTCTGAGTCCTCAGCATCTATTATTCTACATGTGATATCCCTGCATACATATTAGTTAACTCCCACTTATAAGTTAGAATATGCAGTATTTGACTTTCTGGTTCTAAATTATTTCATTTAAGATAATGGCCTCCAGCTCCATCCATGTTACTGTAAAAGATATGATTTCATTCTTTTTATGACTAAGTAGTATTCCAGTGTGTGTGTGTGTGTGTGTGTGAGTGTGTGTGTGTGTGTGTGTATACAATTTTCTTTATCTAATCATCTACTCATGGACAACTAGGCTGATTCCATGTCTTTGCTATTGTAAATCATGTTGCAATAAACATATGAGTGCAAGTATGTTTTTATATAATAATTTTTTCCCCTTTGGGTAGATACATAGTACTAGGGTTGCTGGATCAAATGGTAGTTCTACTTTTAGTTTTTTGATAAATCTCCATAGTATTGTCCACAGAAGACAACTTTGTTTTAAATTTCTGTCCAAGTACCTTCTTGGATCTACTTATTATTTCTCTAATTCCTATAACAGTTAAACAACTCCACTGTTTTCTTCCCTTTTTGTATCAGCTCTAGGAAATATTTCAATTTTCTGTTCATTGACCACTCTGGCTGAAATTCTCTAGAACAAAGGAACTGCAGTACCCTCTCCATTAATGAGGCACAGAGTCCATCCCCACGGTCGTAGGATGGCAATTAAATCCGCAGGCTCACAAGAGGTATTGCTGATGTTCCTCATTTGGTCTCTTGTTTATAAAGATCTCATCTCTGCACAAGGGGCCACCAATAAATTGCCCGTGGTGTGGTGTCATCTTTGGCTTGTTCCAAGGTCCCCCCAGAGTTGTTTATAGACAGGTGGATGTTGCTGGGAGAGCCACATAAGACAGGTGCAATGGAGGCATGAGTTCTGCTTGTGGTGGCAGTGGATGGAGATCTGGCAGTAGGGGCCCTCCATGGGGGTGAGGAGCGTATGTGTTGGCAGGAACAGCAGCAGCAGCAGCAGCAGCAGCAGAGCAGCAGGAATAGAGAAGAGGGAAAAGTGTGGGTTTTAATGCATCACTAGCTTCTCTCCCAAGCTCGTGAACAGTTTCATCTCTCTTTGGGTCTTCTATAGGGAAGAGAGAGATACCAAGATTCGTAGAGTTTCTTCAGACCAATACCTCTACTACTGAAAACAGGCTTTCGTTAGAAGGCCTTAAACTCTCTTCCCAATTAGCTCTGTGATGAATTGTGCATTGTCAGGAAAGAAACTGTATTTAGCCTTGCTTGGCATGCAAGAGTTCCATGGTGGTATTTACAGGGAACACTCCTGGCAAGGTTGGCGAGACTGCTACCACCATTCGGGTTTGTTTGCTTTTTCTCACTGGCACCTGCCATTGTGCTGGCAGAAATAAATCCCAGAATTTGGGATTTAAAGGCAAAGGGGGTTTACCTATTAGTGTGTGCTTTAAGTATATCCCCGTTTGCCCCCCAGGGTTATAAAACATCAAGCCCAGATCATACATTTGCCCAGTACCCTGAAAGATAAATGGTGAAGAATCAAACATAAGGTGTTGAGGGATAAGCAAATTATATGGGTCACTAAAAATTGGCTTCTAATCTGGGCATAAAATCGAGAATTACAGACTCTAGTTTCTAGGTTCTACTTGCCAAACTGCCTTTCCCAATGTCAAGGAGGTAGTCAACATTTCCTTTCATTGTCTCAAATCTCTCTGCCATTAAGTAGATATGTGGCAAATAATAATAATAATAATAAAATATGAGACTGTCATGTTATGGAAAGTTTGTGAGTACATTCATGAAATCATTTTTTGCTTCATTTTCATTTTGGCTTATCATAAAATAAAATATTATTGCTCTTTACATATGATCTTAAATTAGTTGTAACTCTTAAAATT